TCCTTCTCCTCTTCTTCCATCTCCTCCATCTCCTCCTCCTCCTCTATCTCCTCCTCCTCCCTCTCCACCTCCTCTTCCTCCACTTCCTTCTCCTCCTCCTCCTCCATCTCCTCCTTTTCCATCTCCTCCTCCTCCATCTCCTCTTATTCCATCTCCTCCTCCTCCATCTCCTCTTATTCCATCTCCTCCTCCTCCATCTCCTCCTCCTCCATCTCCTCTTATTCCATCTCCTCCCTCTCCTCCTCCTCCTCCTCCATCTCCTCTTATTCCATCTCCTCCTCCTCATCTTCCTCCTCATCACCTCTTTCTCTTCAGCTATCTCCATTAAGACTTTACATCTTACTTTCTGCTCCTCAACCACAAATCACAGATTTTCTACCCTGGTGTAGTTAATGATTTTATCTTCTGAAGATCGAAGAGAAATAGATGGAAAAATCCAGGTGTTAAAATGCTTACATGGTTTTTATTTTAGAAATAAATCCAGGTGACATTAAAAAAATAAAAGAACTGAAATCTCCATTTCTCCTCAATTTTCTTTACCTCAAAGTAACTGTAACTTTTTAGAGAAAACAATTTCATTTAATTTTTTCCAGTCACGGAGAGACCCATTACAGATTCTTCATTCTTTTTCTTTTTTCTTGGTCTACAGAGAAATAAATCCATGAGGCATTTTTTCTGTATCTTGAAGAAAGCCCCAAATATTGCCAGCTCTTTTAATATTGCACATTTTTTAGTTAAGGAATGATTTGACTTGCATTTTTTACTTTATTGGTCAAAACATATCCTTTTGCTCCCTTCCAGCCATTGCTGAAGTGGGGTAAAGTCTTCCTTTTTTAGTCTCTACACATTCTTCAATCCCAGTTCAGTTGAAGGTCACAGTTTTCAGGGAGCCTCTCATTTCCCTTGACGTCGTGTGGTGGTTTGTCCTCTGTGGGTGGTTTTGATGTGGTTCCTCTCTGCGAGCCGCAGGAATTCCACCCAGAGGCCTGTGATCTAGTAGGAAAGCAAGAGCCGTTTGCCTTAATTTTGTGGGTATAAGAAATGGAAGAGCCATTTGCCTTAATTTTGTGGATATAAGAGTGTTTGTAACTTTGTGTGTGTTAATGCCACACTAAGGCTTTATGATGTTAGAAGTCAATTTTGATATGTTTGCGTGGAAAGTAGAGTTGACTTGAGACTGCCAATCATCTCTTCATCCATCTCCATCCATGTGAGTTCTTCCATCCATCCATCTTCTGCCTGTCCATCATCCATTTGTTTATCTGTTCATGCATTTACCTGCTCATTCAGGCCTCTGAGATTCCTTGTATACATACTACTTAGATTCTGATTTTTCCCTTTTCCCAATGAATTTTACTGGAATAAAACAGAACACGATCCTAAAACACTCGAATTACTTTTGGCACACTGCGCCTGATCTTTCCCCATGTGATGGTGACGATGACCTTGTTTTGTCACCTTTATTAAAGGCGGGGGCGGGGTGCCGCGAATCGGATGACATGTAGAAGAGATTTCTCATTTTATGAAATTTAAATAAAATCTGAAACTTGGCTAACTTTACATGAGGTGGAGGGAATGCTTTCTTATGTATTTATGTATGTATATATATATATATATATACATATCTATATAAACTTATACATGTAAAACTTAATTTGAATAAACTGCTTTGAAACCAGTTAATTACCTAAAGGGGAGATCAGCTGGATTGAACCAAATCAGTGGTCGCGTAGTTCACTCCTTTTCCCCTACAGAATGTAGCCCGCCCCCCCCCCCCATGTCCCCCATGTGCTGGAGAGCCCTTTGGCGGTTCTTGTTCACAGGAGGCCAAATGCCCACTTCAGGGTGTAAAGCCGGATGATGCGCTGCCGGGCTGAATCCAGAGCAGTTCTCTCTGGCAGAAACATTTTAGGGTTTCTGTCCCCTGCCCCACAAGAGAGAAAGCCCCTTCTCTGTTCTACACTGAATGAATGACAATAGCCATGAGATCCTCCAAGAATGTCTGACTTGGAATTCAAGGTGGGAGGGAGAGAAAGACAAAGTCTTCCCCCAGTACTTGAGGTTTGAAAGTCCTGAGCTGGAAGGGGGCTTCAGGTCAACACTGCCCTTTGCCAGCGTTCTGTTCACAGACGGAGAAGACATCTTCTCAGGTGACCACACATAAAAATAGGACAGAAGCTAGCATGATTGTGCTTATCCTTGAAGCAAAAGGAATCCATGTACGGGTGGATGGGTTCTAACTTCTTAGACAATCTATACACATTTTACAATTCTGTGACTAGTTCACAGTTAGTAGAGTGGATTGAAACTGTTAGAGAGACAAACTGAACAAGACAAAGCCTCCAAAATTACTTTATTTCCATTGACTTCTTAGTAGCTTAGTGGGTTACACATTGGGTTGCTAACTACAAGGTCAGTAGTTCAAAGCCACTAGCCATTGCTGGGGAGCAAGATGAGGCTTTCTATTCCTGTAAAGAGTTACGATTTCAGTGACCCACAGGGACAGTTCTACCTTGTCCTATAGAACCTTTATGAGTCAGAACTGACTCGAGGGGGATGAGAAAGACTTTCACTTGGTGTCCACACTTCTTAGGTACCTCGAGGACAAGAGTTGAATTTATCTTGGTGTGTTTGTACAGCTTGTTAGGGGTGGGTTTAATCTGTTGCCAGCAAAACCCATTGTTACAAATTTACACATGTATAGTGAAATATTTAAAAGGCCCAACAAGATGGGTAAGGCTACAATCTTTTCTTCAGTTACAAAGTAATGTAGGGAACCGGTTTGATTTTTGTGCTTATGTTAAAGAAGCTGTCATTTCTTTTCTGTGGCTATAAAATGTAAATTAGAAAACCACTTAACATGTGTACCAATCAACAACGTGCTGAGCTGAAAGCATCAGGTGTCCCCAGGTGGCACGCCTCAGACACAGTGGCAATGCTGTGTCTTGAATTTGTAAATTGTTTTATGAGTTATGATCAGAAACATTCTCTTTAATTTGAATGCCTCCCACCTTTAAAGTGCCAAGCCAACTCTTACGTTTTCCTGAACATGCCCTCCCGCTCCTAGTGGATGTGGTGAGACATTGGATGGGGCCAAGTAGAGGTGCTCGGTCACAGCCACTCCATTGTCCACTACAGGAGCCACGAGTCACAGGTGGCTATTTATGTTAAAATTAATTCAGATTAAAAATTGACTTTCTCAGTCTCACTAGCTTCATGTTCAATGCTCAATGACTCCAGGTAGCTTGTGGCTACCCAGTTTAACAGGGCTGGTCTAGAGGTTTGAACATTATTTTCGAAGTCCTTATTGTTCATCTCTTGTCTCGCCTTAGAGGGAGTGGGAAAACGAAAGGATACAGGGACTAGTGGGCTACACGTTGCTGCTTCTAACTGTGCCAGCACTCTGAGCCCCTGGATGCTCTGTTGGGGCAAGACAAGGCTTTCTGCTCCCATGCAGACTTACAGACTCGGAGACCCACCGGAGCAAGTCGACTCTGTCCGATAGGGTCGCTGAGAGTCGGAATCTGCTGGACAGCAGTGAGTTTGGTTTTTTATAAATGTAAACGAATCTGAAAGATGGATCGGTACACCGCCACAAGGTTCCAGCACTGTGGCCCATCGCAACACATTTCCCCTAAAGTCTTTGCACAAGTGAATTCTTTCACTCCAAGGACTGTTCACTTATGGGGTGGGATTTTGTGACTGTGGACACGCACTCCAACTCCTAGCTGATCATCCACTAGATATATACAGGGGACTTTTTCATAGTTTCTTTAGGTCTTTGTCCTAGGACTTAACCAGATTTGAAAACAAACAAACAAACAAACAAAAGGAGTGGAAAATTGAGACAGACACTCTCTTGTTTCTCATCCCTGAATGTCTCAGGCCATTCGGTCGTTCAACTGAATGCACATCAAACACACTCCATGCGCTTGGTACTGAGCTATCCCCTGAGTTTACAAACACAAGGAAGACATGGCTTCTGTCTTCCCAGAACTAGAACTCACAGCCTAGAATAGGGGCTACACATGTGTAACATCAATAAGTAAATGTCATTATGCAAGCACACGGGGCCTTCAAAAGTTCACGGACAAATTCCATGATCATTTCATCCCATGGACTCTTTGAAGCCCCCTCGTCCCATATACAGTCGAGGTTTACAAATACATACTTTCTGGACTCAGCGGATCCACTTGTAGGTTGTTCTCAGCACTGGAGTTCTTTGGTCTCTGCTACCTGTTGAAAAAAACCCAGGGCCCACAAGTGCACCACACGTCTTTGCTCAGTTTCTTCTGTGCCGCAAACCCAGAGGATGTAGGGAGCAGAGCAGCCTAGGTTGGGTGCTCAGGGGTCTGCCTAGGCGGGGTGAATGGAGACTGTGATGGGCATGCCAGTCACCACCCTCTTTATGTCTCCCCAGCTCTCTGTGCCATCGTTGCCACCATCTGGTTCCCTGTGTGTGCCCACCGTGAGACCACCATCGTGAGCTTTGGCTACTCCCTCTACGCGGGCTGGATCGGAGCGGTGCTGTGCCTCGTGGGGGGCTGTGTCATCGTCTGCTGCTCGGGGGATGCTCAGTCGTTTGGTGAAAACCGTTTCTACTACTCTTCGGGCTCCAGCTCCCCGACTCATGCCAAGAGTGCTCACGTCTAGGCGCGCTGCCAGGCTGCCCACGGAGGTGCTGCAGCTCCTGGGCTGACTGCCCTCGGTTTGCTTGCCACAGTGGGGGAGAAAGCCCACGCTCCTGCCAGACTCCAAAGCCCACAGTTGGGGAAGCAGCCTGGCATTTTGTTGTCTTACCCTCCCACTCCTTCCCGGGTTGGTTGCCTTGAAAGACATCGCTTGCTTGGAGGGTGGCCACACATTTTCCTTCTGGGTTTGGCCCCTGTTAGCCCTTTTCCTGGGCATGCCTTTGTTTTTCATTTCAAAAAAATATATTTTATTTCTCCCTGTTTAGGTGTTAAATGACTTCCAAACATTGCCGACTTGGGGAGGAGGGGTGGAGAGGGAAAAAAGACACTTTTCACATGGTGACAGCTGACAAAGAGGGCCTCACAAAGACGCTCTCTGTTTCTACCCTCCTCTTCAGCTCCAAGGTCATGCAGTTAGAAGCGATAGAAACAGATAGAATCGGGGACATTGAGGGGCGGGAGGGGGTGGGAAGGGAGGGGAATTGTGGAACTTTCTCTCCATGGGAAATTTTCACTTTTGTAAGTTGAGGGAAAGGGGTGGGGAATGTTTTTTCAGTTTGTAATTTTACATCGATCTGTGTATACTTTTTCCAAGACGGATCTTTTCCCCCCCTTTTCTTTTTAAATGGGATAACCCTGGTTTTCCTGAAGTCCTCAGTTCATCAGCATGAAGGAAACGACCCACAGAGACATTAATCATGCAATAAGTAACAGCACACGGGAGTGTAATGTCCACTGACATGTACCAAAACACAACGTCGTTGAGTTCCTGGTTCGGTTTGTAGGATGTACTTTCCCATCTTCCACTGGCCTGTG